CTGAATCTGGAGCAGCTAGACTCTCCTACGTGGACATTATTTTAAAATTATTATCGGGGCGCCTAGGTGGCGCAGTCAGTTAAGCGTCCGACTTCAGCCAGGTCACGATCTCGCGGTCCGTGAGTTCGAGCCCTGCGTCGGGCTCTGGGCTGATGGCTCAGAGCCTGGAGCCTGTTTCCGATTCTGTGTCTCCCTCTCTCTCTGCCCCTCCCCCGTTCATGCTCTGTCTCTCTCTGTCCCAAAAATAAATAAGCGTTGAAAAAAAAAATTAAAAAAAAATAAATAAAAAAAATAAAGTTATTATCATTATATGTGAAATATATGACTATAAAACATCATCAAGGGACGCCTGGGTGGCTCAGTTGGTTGGGCGACCGACTTTGGCTCAGGTCATGATCTTGCAGTTTGTGAGTTCAAGCCCTGTGTCGGGCTCTGTGCTGACAACTCAGAGCCTGGAGCCTGCTTCTGATTCTGTCTTTCCCCCTCCCTCTACTCCTCCCCTGCTCACGCTCTGTGTCTCCCTGTCTCTCAATAATAAATAAATGTTAGAGAAAACAAAATTTTTCAAATCATCAAAAAGTCACTGGAAATGACAGTAACACACACCCCTACTAAGGGTCTTTTTGTAATCATATCTGAAGGGGTAGGTGTCAGGAATGCTCCGTGTCCAGCAAGGCATGGCTGTACTCCCCCATTCAGAAGCACAGTCCCTTCCAAGAACAGAAACTAACTCTTCATAGCCCAGGCCCTGGAGACAATGTAATAAAATGGCAACAGCACAGTACTTTTGAATCCCTCACATGTGTATGATCTTATGGAAGAAACTTAGCTCTAGAATAGTTTCTGTGTACTCTTTTGGGGTACTCCTTTGGGAACCCAATGAAAGCCAGGAGCATTTTCCCCAGAAAATTACCTGTAAATGCAAACTTTTACCTAGAGTCCGTTTATTCTTTTGCATATAATAGGGGATAATGATAATTACCTCTCAGGGTTTTGGGATGCTATTATCAGAAATAGAATATTTAAAAGCACTTTGTAAATTATAAAGATTGTTACTACTATTACTTCTATTTTCCAGAGTGAATCTCAGTACCAACTCTACAGAAGAATTTGGCAGAAAAGTTGAAGAGGCCTTTCACTCTGTCCTCACATTTGCCTCCAATGTCCACCCAGTAAAAAACTGGAGATGGATTTGAATAGACATGTGTTCAAAGATAACGAATGGCCAATAAGCACATAAAAACATGCTCAACATCATTAGTCATCAGGGAAATGCAAATCAAAATCATAAATGAGATACTGCAAAGAGACTCTAAAGTGAAAGGCCTTAGTTTCTCATCTGGAAAATGGGGCCCTTAACTAGGTATATTTGGCTCTTGAGTTTGTGCTTTGGACGGCTACCCTAACCACACCCTGAATGTCGGTTTCGGCTTTCTAACTGAAAATCCTTCCCAAGGGTTTTTGCTGCAAGAGAGTGGTCTTGTAGGCCGTGCACACCTGCCTGCAGTTGTTCCTTCTGAGCCCCTGGGACGGATAAGCACAGAGCAACCCCTAGACCTGCGCACTGCAAGTATCCAAGAAGTTGTTATCTCTGCACCTCTTTCTTGGCCCTTTCTGTGCACAAGGCCTCTCAACAAAGCTTGCATGTTCAGCAAACATTTGCTCAGTTGGGTGGTTTATCCCAACCAAGGAAGTAATAATCACAGCACGAGAAATACTTGCATAGGACAGAGAGTTAAAGTTAATACCACTAATGAACAGGAGTTCCATCAGGCATAGAAGAATATTTCTCCAAATCATTTTCTGAAAAATTCAGCATATTAAAATCTATTTTTCAACTGGCAAACATAAAATTAGAACTAAAAATAGAGGGATGTGGAAACATTTATAATTTTTAAAAAATACACATACACATACCCACGTATAAAACTGTACTCACATTTACACATACACACCATCACTCACGCAGTTAAGGGTAGACGACAGACCGGGAGATGAACAGCAGCCGTAAATACAATAGTGTCAATAACGGGGCAAAAGGACCGTGGTCCCCTCGTTTCTGAAATCCCTCTTAGCCAGGAACAAGACTCTAGGATAAAGAGGCTTTGAATCCCTGCTTCTTGCCAAAACACTATCATTTACATGTAAAGTAGAAGCAAGGCAAATTTTGCTCAAAGAGTACCAAACTGATTCACCACTTCACTAATTTAAGACCAAAGCACAGAACACAGCATTCAGGCCATGCCCATGAGCAGCACCACCTCGGTGAGCACACAGCCTGTCCACATAGTATGCAGACAAACACGTGAATACAGGAAGTCCTCACAGCCACATGGTGGCTTATAACACACTCACACTTGCTTAGATACAGTAAAACATTTATTAAATGAAGAAAAGAGAAACCTGACCTTGTAGACAATGGCTCTGCTCACCAGTCACAAACAGGTGTACACACATAAAGCAGAGGTAACTCACGCACGTGAGACTTGAGTTGGCTGGAACCAACCCGAATTCCCGTCTAAGACCTTCTGTGGGATTGAACAGTGTTTTCTCTACATACCACTAAGCCTCCCTGAAAACACAAACACTTCTCAGCTGTCCCTATGGCCGCTCCTCTTCCTCGTCAGGTGACAGGTAGCAGCATGCACGGTGGCAGCCCTTTCACGTCTTAAGCGGCCAAGCATCTGCTTTCACAGCCCTGGCGCCAGCCAGGGAGCTGGTGCCTATTTGTGAGCCCTGCCCTAGAGCAGAAAGGCGGGTGCATGCTTGACAAAGCAAGAGCCCAAAATATATAGGAGATTAAGCTCTCTCATATCTTTAAGAAGTTCCTGCCTAGAAAAAAGAGCCCAAAGGAAGCAAACAAAGCATTTGAAGTAGAGGTTTGAAGCTATAGCTGCATTCAGAAAAGAGTTCAAAGGAAGCAGACAAAACATCTGAGTGGGTGGGTTGGGTGGGGAGAAGGGGTGACCCTACAGTAGACGTCAAAACTGGCTATTTCACTGACATTCACATAAAGTCTACCATGATACATCCATTAATTCCTTTAAATGTGGACCTAGAGTGGAACACAAAGGCAAGGCCCTAACAGATAATTATCCACCATTACCATTTGAACCTAATGTATGTTCAGCAAGCACTTGTATTTGGGCTACAAAATCAAAATCATCCCATGCAGGACTGTGGGATGTTTTTCCATTTACCGTTGTAAAAAGGAGTCAAATGTAAGTGAATGCCATACAAGTTGTAGCTAGAAACAATCAGTAATCCTTGAGTCATCTAATCTTTGACTCTGGCTTCTCCATATCTTGAAGAAGGCCTAGAAGCCGCTGGAGTGGCTTATAGCCGACTCAATTCAGCATAATTGATACCTGCTTAAAAGGGAAACATGATCATCCTTACTATTGCTAACATCCCATTAAGGCTAAAAGTTAATTAGGCTGTGTTCCATAAAGTCAATTTGAGGCATTTGTCTCAATAGCATTATTGTAATTATTCCTCATCAGAATGAATACCACCTCCTACTGCGCGCCAATGTCTTGTGTAAACAACAGCAAAATCCAACAACTCACATTCCATGCTCCTCCTGAGTTATTTAAGTAGGTTTGTGTTTATATAGAACTGAAAATGGGGATTCGTAGACATTAACATTTAAAATAAAAATACAAAGGTATGCTTAAAATATCTTGTTTTAAGGCTGGGAAAATAAAAGCAAACAAAATAGAATGACAAATTTTATATATCATAACAATACCTTTAAAAGTCAAAAAGAGAAGTACCTATTAAAGTCCACCTATTACATATGCTGGTGCCTAGGTGTAGATACCACAAAATGCTAACTGCCTACACAATACAGCATATGGGACAGGTGTGTGTTCTTGTGCCCTCCATACCCACCCCACTCCACTTTCCAACCATTTCTCAGAAGGCTCTGGCAAAGTTGTGGGCACACAAAAGAAACAGGAGCATCAGGATACTCCCTGAGGACATTTCTAGTGAATAAAAGGTGATTTCCCTGGTAAATCTTCCCTCAAGACCCAGAATTTAAACACAGAAAAGTAATGGCCTTACATATATCTTTTAAAATTATATTTAATAAAACAGAAATAAAATTTAATTGTTAGAGAAATAAAACAAATGCATGAAGTCCGAAAGAAAGAGTGGTATCTCATATAGCCTACAGACCACACAGATTTGACCTCTAGTGACTAAATGTTAATATTAGAATTAAAATAATTAACAAAGCATGCTTCAGGGAGAAAACTAGACTGTAACATATGTTGTTACTACTCTTCCATTGGCATCATCAGTGGCTCAATGATGTGAACATAATGGGGGTGGGGGTGATAAGAGGAAGGTGTGAAGAACTAGGCCAAGGAAGGTGCACCCCAGAAATGTAAACAACTCCCAGAGTTCAACCCTGGATGAGGACAAAAGTGAACAGTGATTCTCAAACTTGGCACCTCAAACATGAAAAGCACCTGTGAAGCTTTCAATACCCCGATGCCTAGGTTCTCCCCGCCCACCTCCCCAATCAAATCTAACCTCTAGAGGTGGGGAACCTAAATAACAATAGTTTTTAAAGCTCGCCAGGCAATTTCAATATGGAGTCAGGTTGCAGACCCCATGCTTCGTCTATAAAAGGCCTCAAGAGAAATAATTCTGCAGTTAGATGCTGATGGTGACATGTTCATTTCTCAAGGAAAAACAAAATATTGGTAAATAGCAGTGGAACCAATCATAAGCCAAAAATTCAAGTTCCAATTCTGCCCCCTCCTGATTTATGTAGCTTTTCAGCAAATCACTTGATTTCCTGGGGCCTCAGTGAATATTCCTTTTCAATGTGAAAGGGTTCTACCCAGTCTATACGAACCCATCTAATCCTATCGTTTCTACACACTAATAAACAAATACTTCCAAAAGAATGGTCTGGGCAGGTTAGCAATTTTCAGGTAAACCAGGATCCCAGTTTTACTTATTTACTCTCTAAGAGCTACACTCACCAGTAAAAACTGAGTGAATTCTGCATACGTCAGGTGTCTTTTTCTTTCTCTTCCAAAATGTAGTTGCACAAATTCCGAATCCCAGTTAAATGGAATATGTTGATGAATTGTGGTCTGTCCAAAAACTTGCTTAACGTCCTCTGAAAAGAGAAAAGAAAGATTAAAACAAATGAGGTTTATCCTTGTACAATCCGTTATTAAAAGGGTATTAAAAGGGTATTAACAATCCTACCCATAAAGAGAAAAAAAAGACACACACACACACACACACACACACACACACACACACACACACACACATATACAGAGATGCTTAAAAGGCAGTAGGAAACCAAACCCAAGTAATAAGCTAAATCTAACATTATCATATCACATGTTTTGTTTCAACAAACATGATTTTCTAGACACACTGGATATAATTCAATCTTTAGTGGCAGGAAACATATACATAAACACATATAGCACTATACAAGTCTTAAACACAGTCATTTATCAAGTTATTAAAAAGTTCTTGAGGATTTAATAACATCGGTTCTCCCAATCCATGAGCATGGGGTACCTTTCCATTTGTTTACACTGTCTTCAATTTCTTTCATCAGTGTTTTCTTATTTTTAGAGTACAGGTCTTTAACCTCCTTGGTTAAGTTTATTCCTAGGTATTTTATTCTTTTTGGTATAATTGTAAATGGGATTATTTTAATTTCTCTTTCTGCTACTTTACTAATACACAGAAATGCATCAGATTTCTGTATATTGACTTTGTATCCTGTGATTTACTGAATTCATTTATCAGTTCTAAGAGTTTTCTGGCAGAGTCTCTATGGTTTTCTACATATAGTATCAGTTTGGTAGTATTTGCTGAGGACTTCTGCATCTATGTTCATCAGAGATACTTGCCTGTGGTTTTCTTGTTTTGTAGCGGCTTTGTCTGGTTTTGGTATCAGCACAATGCTAGCCTCGTAGAATGAATTTGGAAACTTTCCTTCCTCTTTTATTTTTGGAATAGTCTGAGAAGAATAGGTAATAACTCTTCTTTAAATGTTTGGCATTATTCACCTGTAAAGCCATCCAGTCTCAGACCTTTGTTTGCTGGGAGCTTTTTGATTATTGATTCAATTTCATTACTAGTAATTGGTCTGTCCAAATTTTCTATTTCCTTCCAGTGCAGTTTGGAAGGACATTGTTAAAATGTCTACACTACCCAAAGCAATCTACAGATTGAATGCAATCCCTATTAAAGTAGCAACAGCATGTTTCACAGAACTAGAACAAATAATCCTAAAATTTGTATGGAACCACAGAAGTCCCCAAATAGCCAAACCAATCTTGAAGAAGGAGAACAAAGCTGGAGGCATCACAGTCCAGATTTCAGGATATATTACAAAGTTGTAGTAATCAAACCAGTACAGTATTGGCACAAAAAAGAGACATATAAATCAATGGAACAGAACAGAAAACCCAGAACTAAACCCACACTTTTAGAGTCAGTTAATCTACAACAAAGGAGGCAACAAGATTACACAATGGGGAAAAGAGAGTCTCTTCAACAAATGGTGTTGGGAAATCTGGACAGATACATACAAAAAAATAAAACTAGACTACCTGCTTATACCACAGACAAAAATAAAATAAAAATGGATTAAAGACCTAAATGTGTCTTACATTTATAAAACCATAAAACTCCTAGAAGAAAACATAGGCAGTAAAATATCTGTGACATAGGCCATAGCAACATTTCTCTAGATATATACCCTCAGGCAAGGGAAACAAAAGAAAAAATAAACTAGTGGGACTACATGAAAATATTAAGCTTTTGTGCAGTGAAGGAAAAATCATCAACAAAACAACATGGCAACCTACTGAATGGAAGAAGATATTTGCAAATAATATATCTTGAGTTAATATTGAAAATATATAAAGAAGTTTTACAACTTGACACCAAAAAACCAATCTGATTAAGAAATGGCCAGAGGAGGGGCACCTGGGTGATTCAGTCGGTTGAGCCGACTCTTGATTCTGGCTCAGGTTGTGATCTCATAGTCACGAGATCCATCCATCACCTCATCAGGTTCTGCACTGGGCCTGCAGCCTGCTTAAGATTCTCCCTCTCTCCCTTTCTCCCTCTGCTCCTCCCCTACACTCTCACTCTAAAAAAATAAAAAAAGAAATGGGCAAAGGACCCAAATAGACATTTTTCCAAAGAAGACATACAGATGGCCAATAGACACATGAAAAAGATGCACAATATCACTAATCATTAGGGAAAGGTAAATGCAAATCAAAACCACAATGAACTATTTGAACACCTGTCAGAATGACTAAAATCAAAAAGACAAGAAATAACAAAGCTGGCAAGGATGTGGAGAGACAGAAACCCTCACGCACTGTTGGTAAGAATGCAAATTGGTAGAGCCACTGTGGAAAATAGTACAAAAGTTCCTCAAAAATTAAAAATGGAAACACTGTATAATTAGGTAATTCTATTACTGGGTATTTATCCAAAGAACACAAAAACATTAATTTGAAAAGATATATGCACCCCTATGTTTACTGCAGCATTATTTACAATAGCAAAGATATGGAACCCAAGTGTCCATCCATAGATGAATGAAGAAAATATAGTATGTATGTATGTATGTATGTATGTATGTATGTATGTATGTATGTGTGTGTATAAATAATGGAATATTACTCGGCCGTAAAAATGAATGAAATCTTGTCATGTGCAATAATAAGGATAGACTTAGAGGGTATAATGTGACATAAGTCAGACAGAGAAAGACAAGTATCATATGATTTCACTCATATGTGGAATTTAAGAAACAAATGAGCAACAGCCAAAAGATTAAAAAAGTAGACTCTTAAACACAAAGAACAAATTGGTGACTGCCAGAAGGAAGGTGTATGAGAGGATGAGTGAAAGTGGATTAAGAGATACAAACTTCCAGTTATGAAATAAGTAAGTCATAGAGATGAAAAGTACAGCATAGAAAATACAGTCAATAAGATGGTAACAGTGCTGTGTGGTGACAGATGATGACTAAATTTATCATGGTAGGGGCGCCTAGGTGACTCAGTCGGTTAAGCATCCAACTTCAGCTCAGGTCATGATCTCACAGTTGGTAAGTTCAAGTCCCACGTTGGGCTCTGCACTGATAACTCAGAGCCTGGAGCCTGCTTCGGATTCTGTGCCTCCTTCTCCCTCTCTCTCCTTGTCCTTGGTGTGTGCTGTGTCTCTCTCTCTCTCAAAAAATAAATAAACTTAAAAAAAAAAATTTAAATATCATGGTGAGCACCGAGTAACATATAGAATGGTTGAATCATTATGTGCTCCATTACCAGCTCCCAGATGTTCTGGCTATGGTAAGAATGCCAGTCCCCAGCTAGCAAGCTATCAACCTGGACGTAGCACCAGCTTATGAGCACTGCACCAGCCATGTGGGAAGTAGAAAGGTGGTAGAAGACACGGTGCCGTATCCAAGTCTAATCCACAAGACATAACTAAACAGCAGATCCCAACACTATTCCACTTTAAGTGCTAACCTGCTACTTGTGGTAAGGAAACAGAAGCTGAAGGAGGGAGGCACTGACACAAGAGAACGAGGCTTCTTGGAAAAGACAGAACGTGAACTGGGTCCTTGAAGGCTGCCAAGGATTTACTGAGATGAATCTGTGAGGGAGTTTTTCAGTGGAGGGCAAATAGCATGAAGAAGGGCTCATTTCCTCTGAAGTGAATTAAGGCTCCAATCAGAGCGCTCTGGACCAAAGCCACCTGGGGTCATTGAGACATGACAGATCCTGCTCCGGGTAGTTGCAGACACTAGCCTCACTCACCAGCATAAATGTGGATGCCACATTTATGGTGAAGGAAAGGTTGCTGTGGGAAGAAGAGCTGATCCTGGGACACTGCAGAGAAAAAGACCCAGGGGTTTCTGTTTGTTGGTTGTTTTTTGTTTATTTTTTTACCATTTAGTATAATTTCTACAAAAGTTTCCTCACTTACCTACCAGAGGTTTACGTACTCTGCTATGGTGAGACTGCCAAGTCGTTCTAACTGGACAAACCAGACGACTGTTCGAGGGGAAAGGAGGATTCTTGCTAAGGAGGAAAACGACCAATATTTCTACTCATTTTCACCACTAATCAACTCTTTTAAAGAATTAAAACACTAAATTTTACCACCCTGAAAACTCACACATTTTCTGCAAAAACACGGAATGGGTTCCTAAGTCCGGAGAGCACTTCCTCCTGCTCTGATAAGTCATTCTGGGGCACCTGCTTTCTGAAATGCTTGGGCTCCACATTTTCCTGTAGCTTCATGAACAGAAACCTCTATGAGACCAACAGTGACAATAGGGTCCTGGAATTTCCCCCCTTCACTTTGGAAGACACCTCAGGTTACTATTCTTTTTTCCTTTCAGGAAGCACAAATAGCTTTCTCATTTAACATTTTATTGTTTTAAGATTTCTCCATGCCTCGTGAGGCAATGATCAGTAAGAGTACTCCTCCTATTTTATAGCTGAAAAATCAGAAACTAATAACCAAAGTGATTTTCAAATTCTGCTCTGTCTTCTGGCTCCCATGGGAAATTTGTGAGCTTTATGATGAAAGACTCCAGGAATCAACCTGAAGGCCATCCTACCTACACCTTTACCATCCCCTGGCCTTTCCAAACCTAACTTGTATTCCTGGATGGGAAAGTGGAAACCCTAAATATCCTAGGCTTTTTGGTTACTTATTGGGCTCAGTGAACTGCATATGTAACTAGAACTTGTAACTTACCAGCTGACGGCTTTCAAATAACCATCACGTGTCAGATTTATCACTAACTTAAAAGGAATGAGTAGAAGATCCCTCCTAGTCTAAAACACAAGGCTTAAAATCTTACCCCCAGGTTGAGGTCAGACAGGCAAAGAAGCAAAACTGAATTAGCACTGAAATCGCAATGAAGCATCAGATTATATGTTTTGGGTATTTAAAGTCATACTTTTCTTAGCTCAGGCACTACTCCTCCTGAAAGTAAAAACAAATTAGAATGCTTATCTCTTAAAGTATAATCATTGTTATTTCAGTCTGTGCCAAACAAACTATGTTTGGAAGGCATACAGTTCCCATAATATCACCAAATAACGGCAATAT